CTGATGACGTCTGAGGATTTCTTTGTTCGTGTATATAATTCACATCTGATTGGAAACATTTTTTCAGACAGAAATGATTGTAAATATATAACGTCAATGTAACGTAATAAGTAATGAAACCACAAACACAGCGGTCCTTGTTTATACCAATATCTGTAGAAACATGAATTATTAATCTCGAATGTTTTGAGTCATCCTCAAAAGACTGATGTATCTGCATATTATGTTTCAAAATGCATTTGGAAATGAATTTCAAACGTGCATGTGATTATTATTTAGCTTTATGGGCATGATTTATGCCTGGGTCATTTGAAAATGCAAACGTAGTTCCACGACACTGTAGCTCACCTGGATATATAGTCAACATTTTAACAAATTAATTGTGGCAATATTGCAGTGTATTTTATTGTTAAACAATGATTGTAACTGTCTTACATTGTTTCCGTTAGGACTCAGAAGAAGCTCATTGCATTGTATTTGGACAATAGTTAGTTTTCAGGAATGTTGTACTAGTTAGCAGAAGTTAGGGGGGTTAAACGGGCGCGTCCCTATCTCATACCTCACACATACATCAATACATCAAGACCAGCTTTCATGTGAAGATCACATATCACCCCGGATTCCCTACCTAGGCCTTTCTCGGAAGTTTATCACTGTCGCCGCTGGGTGAATATTCTATTATCACTGTGTTTTGCTATCACAGCTCACTTTTTGTATTTGATGCTGACACTGACTTTTGTACTATGACTCTATTGTGTACTGCCGTTGTAATTTCAGTGCAAGTAATTTGTATTGATTCGTAAACCTAAAATAATTTTTAAAAACTTTCAAATTATCACAAGATCATATTGAAACGAACCCAACCTGGCATTTCACCTTCTTTAAGAGAGATTTTACAATAGGAAATCATCTCTTATTCCACCACATGGGAAAAGAATACGCCCTCTCGCTTGTCTTTTCCTCCACGGCAGTTGGTAAAGTCAGAAGCTGACCTGACATTAGCTAAAGAATAGAATTATATAATAACAAGTGTTGATCAACAAGAATGTTATCAGTAAAAAAGCGTATACAATTCAGTCCTTAATGACGACCGTCAGGCAGGGTAACAACAAGTACCATTCTTTAACGTCCTTTGGTCTGACGTGGCCGGGGATGAACCAACCTTTCGCTGTCCGCGCAGACGCTCTTTCCACTGCGTGGATTCAACCGTAACCTATGGCACCATTCGTGACCAACTCGTGTTATTCCGGGACGAGCCGAATAGCGACTCGTGCCCCTCTCGTGGCCATTTTTGCGACCGGGTTCCGTCTTAGCGCAAACAGGCATACCTGAAACAATTGTCAACTCGTTGCGTAATGGTTCACAAATATTTCCCCATATATAACATATATTTCAGATGCAATTTCGCACATAACATTCTTCGATAGGGGGACAATCTTCTTGCAGGTTACGGAAAGGGGCGAGTGGTGACGAATGCTATGGCACAGAAATAATGTATGTCATGAGTGTCCCAAATTACCCAGTAATCGGGGCACTTGAATAAAGTGAGTTAATGTTGTTAAATGCTAAAATGATCAAAAGTATTGCTATAACATTACCGTAATGTAAATATTCGATTACGGCTACAGTGAGTGGAAGGAATGCTCCAAGTGATGCAGGTCTTAGACGTTTACCATTTGGTGAAACCAACGGGCACGGGTATGGTGCTGACAAACCCAGAAACACAATCGAGCTTCTATGACTAACATAGTATGGTTATGGTGCTGACCAAAAGTTTCCTGTCCACAAATCCTGACAGTTAAATGGGAGCAAGGTTGGGCTAACAGTTTCTTGGTCTGCGTAACCGCCGGCCAATACAAAGTATACATTTGAAAATTGGATTTTACCAAGAAATAACAAACGTTATCGAAATGTTACTAAGATCAAAACAGATCGAAACCAAACCGAAACAGGTCCAAACACACAACTTTGTTACACATGTCATCTAAATTTCCATAGAATGACCGACCCGCGAAGATCCGGGGTAGAATAGGTCTTCAGCAACCCATGCTTGCCGTAAAAGGCGACTATGCTTGTCGTAAAAGGCGACTAACGGGATCGGGTGGTCAGGCTCGCTGACTTGGTTGATGCATGTCATCGATCCCAATGCCTATCAATATTGATCACTGGATTGTCTGGTCGATTATTTACAGACCGCCGTCATATAGCTGGAATATTGTTGAGTGCGGCGTTAAACAACCAACCAACCATCGAATGGCCATTTCATGATAGTTTCTTCTTCCCAGCATTTTTATTCAAATTGTATGACTTGTACCAAGTTAGTAGGTATTGATAACTCTAATTACACTGAGATAATGAAAGTTTGTTTGGTTGTTGTTTAACGCCGTACTCAGCAATAATCCAGTTGTATGACGGCAGTCTATACATAATCGAGGCGACTAACGTGATCGGGTCGCAGGCTTGCCACAAGCATAGTGATAAGGTGTGGAAAAATAACGTTGGTGAGGTAAAGTGGGTTTCAAACTCGTGTTTACGATTCGTACTCATATAGCGACAAGAATGCACGTGTACAAGCATTAATGACTGTTTGTTCTTATCCGATTTTAAAGCGCTAACCCACAGACATACCATGCCACAGACCGCCTCCGTGCTCTAGTGGTAGAGCGTCCGCCCGGAGAGCGGAAGGTCTGGGGTTCGATCCCCGGCCGCGTCATACCAAAAGACGTTAAAAGATGGTACTTCTTATTACCCTGTCTGGCGCTCGGCATTAAGGGGCTTAAACAAGGACTGGTCGGCTCGGAGTCAGTATACTGTGTCTGAGTGGGGTATTCATGTTAAACTGCGGCATGGTATCTCAGTGAGCTAGCACTATAAATCGGCATCAGTCCGGACTAGTACAAGCAGCCATACACACACACACACACACACACACACACACACACACACACACACACGTGCATGCACGTCGCTATATAAGTGCAATAATCTTGGACGCGACGTTAAACCCAATTTCACCTCACCTCACCTCACCATGCCACAGTTTAACATGGATACCTAACTTAGACGCAGTATACCGACCAGTCCTTGTTTTATCGTTTTAATGCCAAGCCCAATGAAGGGCTACGCTAATTACCATATTTTTACGTCATTTGATATGGTCCTGCCAGAGGATGGAACCACCAACATTTCACTCTCCGGTTCTACGCTCTATCCATTTGGGGGCACGGGTGGCGCAGTTCGCTGTGCAGAGTTGCGTCCCTTGGGCACGCCAGAAACCTATGATTATGGGTTCGAATCCCGGTTCGCCCCGATTATGTTTCTTGGTTTGTCAGCACCATACCTGTGCCCGTGGGTTTCACCGAAGTGGTAAACGTCTGAGACCTGCATCAGGTCCTCCCACATTAAGCTGGCACGCCGTGATATAGCTGGAGGACTGTTAAAAGCGGCGTTAAACATAACTCACTCACTCACTCTATCCATTTGATCGCGGAGTCAATCACAAAGTCGTTTATGTTCATCACTTTTGTGACACCTACGATCACGGGAATGGTGCCGATTGGCCAAGCGGCATAATTAAAGATGCAGAAGAAAATATACACGATGAGTATCAATTATTTGTTTGTTTGTTGTTTAAAGCCGCATTCAGCAATATTTCAGCCATATGGCGGCGGTCTGTGAAATAATCGAGTCTGGACCAGACAATCCAGTGATTGACATCATGAGCATTAGGGCTGGCACGAATCCAAATTTATTTCCCGGGTACCCACTCCCACTATTACCCGACCTTAACCGGGTACCCACCTGCAGGTCTCAAGAGATAGGTACAAAATGTCCAACTGGGAAACGTTTGACCGTACTCCTGTCAAAATGTATTTAGATTCAGGTATCAAATGATCTGGTCATGCATACACTGAAGTTGACGGAGACCGCCTCCGTGGTCTTGGGGTAGAGGGTCCGCCCGGAGAGCGGAAGGTCCGGTGTTCGATTCCAGACTGCGTCATACCAAAAGAAGTTAAAAGATGGTACTTGTTGTTGCCCTGTCTTGCGCTCGGCATTAAGGGACTAAAACAAGGACTGGTCGGCTCGGAGTCAGTATACTGTGTCTGAGTGGGGGATTCATGTTAAAGTGCGGCATAGTATCTCAGTGAGCTAGCACTAGCTAGTCCGGACTAGTACAGGCAGCCACACAAACACACACGTGTATATGCACGTCGCTATATAAATGCAATAATCTTGGGTGAGTGTGAGTGAGTTTGGTTTTTACGCCGCTTTTAGGAATATTCCAGCAATATCACGGCGGGGGACACCAGAAATGGGCTTCACACATTGTACCCATGTCGGGAATCGAACTCGGGTCTTCGGCGTGACGAGCTAACGCTATAACCACTAGGCTTCCCGACCGCCCCGCAATAATCTTGGACGCAACGTTAAACCCCATTTCAGGTCACCTCACCTTAAGTTGACTGAAGTTATATCTTTATGCAAACATATAAGGTCAGAAGGAATGTGTGCATAGTCGGCAAGAAATGTGAACATTTGTCACTCATAGTGTAACCATAAAGTTCTAGATAATTTGTGCCATTAAACAATATAATCACGTGACTAACCAAGGGTCCGGGTAGTCCTGTGGTACCCCGGGTCCTACTCAGTACCCACCCGACCCGAGTACCCGAGTAACCCGTCCCAGCCCTTATGAGCATCGATCCACGCAATTGGGATACGATAACATGCATTAAACCAAGTCAGCGAGACGTGCCACCCGATCCCGTTCACCGCCTCTTACGACAAGCATAGTCGCCTTTTACGAAAAGCATGGGTTGCTGATGACCTACCCCGAATCTTTACGGGTATCAATTAAAAAGAGGTAATATTTGCAAGAACTATAGAAAACTCGAATTTCCCGGAAAATAAATTAAAAATCGCCGAAACGCAATCCCGTGCAAAACGTGCTCTTTGCTTTCCGCGCACGGTTGCCTGTGGTATATAAACGACCGTGGAACCATTATCTCGTAGCACGTGCCGAGTCAGAGCTGAGAGAATTGAGGTAAGATTTTGAATCAGTTGTCTCCTTTAATGTTGTTTAAATATTTACTGAGAAATGTTCATTCTGTACCAATTGCATCCAATGGGATATACATTAAATGCAATGATGAACAATATGCTTTGTTTTACATGAATAGCAATTTAATCGGATGTATTTTTCTTTGCAGCCCCCCCCCCCAAAGGCCAAAATGCCAGCTCGTGTGACTATCTTGGCGATTCTTAGCTACATGGTCTGTAAAATGCTTTTTAACAAATGATTTAGTATTTAAAAAAAACCTCATTCTAATCAGCAGTTGAATTTGAAAATGTTGTTTCACTGGTTGAAGGCTCGGTACATTTCGCAATTGACTAGCATTTGACATCAAAGCGTATTCATTCTAATATGTATTTAATGCGTTTATTCTTCAATAATGGTATGTATATTTTTTTGTAAATTCTCTTCAGAAGTGTAAGTATTACACGTGTTGCCTTGGGTTCGAATCCCACCTTTACTGCTATAATGGCCCTCGCTCTGTTCGCCACATCGCTAAAATAATACCGATGCAACGTTAAGTATTTATTTATTTGTTTTAATAACTCGCTCACTCTGTCCGTGTTGTTCATCTCTCCTGTCTCTATTTCGAGCATGACTATTTTTCCATTCTTCGGTCTTGATACATTCAGTGATTCGATCCATTACGATTGAAAGAGGATCAGAGCGATTGCTGCACTGGGCGCAATCAATATTTCTGAAGTTACTTCATGGCGTTATAGGATTATTTTTACGAAGGCCATTTTTGTAACCACACGTTTCCGTTAAGATCCGGGGTATAATAGGTCTTCAGCAACCTGTGCCTGCCCTAAAAGGTGACTATGCTTGTAAGAGGTGACTAACGGGATCGGGTGGTCAGGCTCCCTGACTTGGTTAATGCATGCATCGATCCCAATTGCATGGATCGATGTTCATAATATTGATCACTAGATTGTCAGGTTGAGACTCTATTTACAGACCGCTGTCATATAGCTAGAATATTGCCGAGTGCGGCGTTAAACAACAAACAAAAACAAAACGCAAAAAATTCTAAAGGTTGGTGTGCTATTGCTATTTTAGTAGTTTGTCAATCTGAAGTTGGGATCGACGATAATATACTTTTAACCAAGTAAATGCATTTGTGGAGAGATGGGTAAGTTTTTAACTACTGATTGAATATTTAACCTCGTTTAGCTCAATGCGCAACATACAAGTGGCGAACACTGTGGGCTTCGATGCGTCTACCTTGCTTTCCTCGTAAAGCGCGTGGTGTCGTATTAGTTAGGAGCTAGACAACAGATGAGGCTCGAAAACGTGTGGGATTGCATATCAACAATGATTGAAAAGGAAGTATTTATGTAAATATTGCCTTTCCACGTCTTCCAATACGGCTCGGAAATGTTTGGATTTGAAATCGATAAATATCGATTATTTCCCAAACTCATGTTAGACTGGGTGGTCACAATTTAATGAATGCCTTGATTTGTTTTAACTGTACTTTGACCATCACTATCTCGGCCTGACGGATCAAGGAAAAGCTCGCTCACATGCATGCCTTTTTTTCACAGGCTACCACCCAGGCAATTGTACCACCGGGACATATAATGCACAGTATGTATATACTATATAGATCAATCTGAAACTACAAACGGTCCAGGCCAGGTGTAAATTGTAATATGAATTTTTTACTTGCCTACTCGATATACATGCTAATGTAATGGGACCGAAACGGTGATCATGGCTTCTTTTGGACATTGAGCAAACAATTTTATTTAAAGTCTTCAGTCTTAACAAGTCTTCAGTGGATCGATGCTCATGATATCAAACGCTGGATTGTCTGGTCCAGACTCTATTTAAACACCGCCGTCATATAGCTGGAATATTATTCAGCTTTTAACAACCAAATCACTTCAAAAATGGTCCCCAAAATATTCATGATCCTAAATGTTCCGGATATATTAACATGCCATTTATTTAATAAGCATTTAAAATCCCGAATTTGGACAAAGGTAGGTTTTTACATTTGTCTGCCAAAGCTACAAAGTTTAGAGTCTTAGATAAAACCCTGGTTTTTGTTGCAGTTAATCCTGCGTGTGGCAGTAATGGAGTCGGTGACGCCGTCGTCAAACTAGTCACCGACTACGAAACCGGAGCTAAGGCCACCTGTGCTGGAGGTAAGATGGTGGACTTCGTCTCCAGCAATGGCGTGGAATATACGTTGCCGGTGTCCTACCCAGTTGCCGGCGGGGGAACCTCCAAGTGTAAATTTGTGGTAGGTTTATTCAGTGTTTACTCTAGATTTCGTCTTTGTACGTCCAAGGTGACGAAGCGGCATACTAGAAGCTGGATAGGTAACTAGTGATGCGATGACGTGCATCGACCAAGTCGGCGAGCCTGACCACCCGATCCCATAAGTCGCCTCTAACAGGATAGTCGCAAGTATGGGTTGCTGAAGACCTGTTCTACCCCGGATCTACGTGGGTCCAAAAGTTGATTATCCATACCATCAGTGAGTATGGTTTTACGCCGTTTTTTAGCAATATTCCAGCAATATCACGGCGGGGGGACACCAGAAATAGGCGTCACACATTGTACCCATGTCGGGAATCGAACCCGGGTCTTCGGCGTGACGAAGCTAACGCTTTAACCACTAGGCCACTCGACCGCCCCTCATACCATCAGATATCAAGTAATGGCTAAGAGGGGGGGCCACGGGTGGCCCAGCCGTCTAAGGCGCCGCGATTCGCTGTGCAGAGTTGCGTCCCTTGGGCACGCCAGAAACCTACGATTGTGGGTTCAAATCCCGGTTCTCCCCAATAATGTTTCTAGTTTTGTCAGCACCGTGCTCGTGGGTTTCACCGAAGTGGTACACGTCCGAGACCTGCTTCAATCGGGCTTTCCTCCCACATTAAGCGGACACGCCGCGATATAACTGAAATACTGTTAAAAGCGGCGTAAAACCCAACTCACTCACTAATGGACAAGAGGCTCCTCCGTTTTACTAACTCCATCTGTCGCCCTCGGGTTTTACAATTCCTGTCAAAGCGTTTTACTATGTGTAGTTTAAAGACGCATGGCACAATCGTGAGGCGCCGCATAAGCAGTTGCGTTCCTTGGGTAGGCCATGACCTTGGGCTCGAAAACCGGTTCATCCCCGTTTCTATGTTTGTCAGCACCACACCCGTGCTCGTAGGTTTCACCAACGTGGTAAACGTCTCGAGACCTGCATCATTTCGAGCATCCCCCAACATCAAGCCGACACGTGATATGCATGGAATACTGTTCAAAGCGGCGTTTAACCGAACTCGCTCACTCGTAAAAAGCCGACACTAACCTAAAATACAAACACTAACATAAAAACAGCATAAAAACATATCGTTTTGTTTCCAGATGTAATCGAATACTTCGTCTCTAGCAAGTGAGAACTAGTGTGTGAAATTCCATGTACCTCGTATCGGAGCCAAAATGTAATGTATAAAAGTTAATCAAGGCATGAATTTCAGAACTGCAACAAATATTTTTTTATTCGGTTTGATAGACATCATTACGAAAGCCTTTTTTAGGGTCATTTGTTTAATTTTTAAAAAATATTTCGATACTAAGTTGAAATTTCAAGATAGTATCGAAAACAATAAAAAAAACAAACGAATGGCCCTAAAAGGCTTCCTTACATCATGGCGGCTCGTCAGTACATCGGTAAAGAAAACCCTTGTTTCAAAGAGAATTAGTTTCAATTGTGTTTTTCAGAAAGCGAAAGACGCACTGGTGTTCACAATCCAAGTGTTTGTTGGGTACGGTGCTCCTGGCAGTCGCATCCACCAGTACGATGAGCACTACACCATCAGCTGCTCCTTCCAGCCAGCCGCCAATAAGAAAAGCGGTTCCGTCACCGTCAGCCCTGGGTACGTCTCGTGGGTCCACATCGTTGCCGACCCGTGAAGATTCCGGGTAGAATGGGTCTTCAGCAACCTATGCTTGCCGTAAAAAGCGACTAACGGGATCGGGTGGTCAGGCTCGCTGACTTGGTTGATGCATGTCATCGGTCCCAATTGCGTGGATCGATGCTCATATTAATCGCTGGATTGTCTGGTCCAGACTCGATTATTTACAGACCGCCGTCATATAGCTGGAATATTGCTGAGTGCGGCGTTAAACAACCAACATCGTTGCCAGGCTGTATTTCTCATTTTTAAAAATTGGTCCAATTTAAATTTTCCAGACACTCCAGCCGACAAAGGACGGATTGATTTGTGCGTTAAACCGAAGTGTAGCTTCTGGGTAGAAACTAGTTTTGTTTACTGTTTAGCACCACACTCGGCAATATTTCAGCTATATGACTGCGTAGTGTATATCGAGTCTGGACCAGACAATCCATTAATTGCCACCACGCCATTTGGGATACGACATGCATCGACCAAGTCGGCGAGCCTGACCACCCGATCCCGTTAGTCTCTGGCTTTGCACAACCGTCTAGTGTCGCATTGTAGGGGCGGTTATCTGAAAGGGACACAGGTCGTGCATGGTTTCCGATGCTGTGTGAACATCCGGGGTAGAAAAGGTCTTCAGCGAACCATGCTTGCCGTAAAAGGCGACTAACGGGATCGGGTGGTCAGGCTCGCTGACTTGGATGAAGCATGTCATCGATCCCAATTGCGTGGTTCGATGCTCATGATATTAATCACTAGATTGTCTGTTCCAGACTCGATTATTTAGACCGCCGTCATATAGCTTGAATATTGTAGAGTGTGGTGTTAAACAACAAACCCACAACAACCAAAGTTGTAGAATATACCAAAGGTATCGGGTAGTTACCCCACAATAAGCGTATCCTAATTTGACAGCACCGTGCCTTTAGCAAAATTTCAAACATCTAAGGCAGGCACGGCTTCAGGCTTTCCTCACGAAGCCAAATAAAACGTGATTTAACTGAAAAACGTTTCAAAACAACGTGTAACCCAGCTTAATCAAGCTTAATCAATGTTCCGTCTCGTGTTTGGATTAACACGCAATATAAATCTTTGGTGATATATTTTTATGGAGGACCTGATCGACGTGGTCACTAAGTAGGCAGATGTAGTTAACTGTTTCTACTGATAGTGCCGGTACAGCGACTTAAAAAGACCACGTAGCCACGAATGTATTTATTCATGTGGACGCATTTGTGCAATAAAATGTTACTGCCAATATGAAACCATTGCAGAATCAACCCAGCAAAGGTGATCGCTGGAAATTTACCCCCTAAGAGCAAGTCCATCATCCATTTGTACATCGTGGATGTGATTGGGAGGAAACTTGGCTCCGCGGCTCCGGCAGGCAAGATGGTGAGGCTGCAGGCGGTCACTCTAGGTATGTGTATATTTAAGTGATAAATATTTCAAGTAAACGACTTATACCGGTAATAACTGCTCTTTGCGAAAACTTTACTTTGTAGTGCAAACTTCAGCACAACCAGGTGTACCAAGTCGAGCTACACTAACACTAGTGATATATTTCTTATCTAATTGTGATCATCTTTTTTAATGCCGCACTTGGCAATGTGACGGCTCGACAATTCGCTAATAACGAACCCTCCACGCAGTCGGGATACGATGACTCCTATCAAACTACACCATCCATTTTTATCGCCTCTTACGACCTGTGTGATGCCGGGAACCTGTAGACCCGTGAAGATCCGGGGTAGAATAGGTCGTCAGCAACCCATCTTGCCGCAAAAGGCGACTATGCTTGTCGTAAAAGGCGACTAACGCGGGATTGGGTGGTTAGGCTCGCTGACTTGGTTGATGCACGTCATCGATCCCAATTGCGTGGATCGATGCTCATGATAGTAATCACTGGATTGTCTGGTCCAGACTCGATTATTTACAGACCGCCGTCATATAGCTGGAATATTGCTAAGTGCGGCGTAAAACAACGAACCCAACCAACCAGGAAATAATTGGGCTCAAAAGCAATTGACACGGGGCAGTCGAGACAAACATGTTTTTTTGTAAATTTGGTTCAAAGGATATAGATCCGGATTACAGGGTCTTTAGCAACCCATGCTTGCGTAAAAGGCGACTATGCTTGTAAGAGGAGCTTAGATGGAGTGGATAGTCAAGACTCGCTGACTTGGTTGATGCATGCAATCGTATCCCAATTGCGTAGATCGATGCTCATGTCAACTAATGGATTGTTCGGTCCAGATTCGATTTATAGACTGTCGTCATATAGCTGAAATATTGCCGAGTGCGGCGTTAAACAAGAAAAGTGGGCACGGTTTGCCCAGTGGTCTAAAGCACCGCAATTCGCTGTGAAGAGTTGCGGCCCTTGGGCATACCGTAAACCTATGATTGTTGGTTCGAATCGCGGTTCGCCCCGATTATGTTTCTAGGTTTGTCAGTACCATACCCGTGTTCGTGGGTTTCACCGAAGTGGTAAACGTCTAAGACCTGCATCACTTCGGGCTTTCCTCCCTAATTAAGCTGACACGCCGTGATACAACTAGAATAATGTTAAAAGCCGTGTTAAACCCTACTCGCTCACGCAAAACAAGAAACACACGGTAAAACGTCAACCAGTCCAGCGCCCAGCTGTTTCCCTAATTAGGATGTTGCATGCTTGATGACGAAACGCTTTAACATATGATTTTTTAAACCTCTAGGACTTAAGGACAAAGGCATCAGGCCCGAATCTTGTGATGCTTTGAATTCGAAGGGTGGCAGGTTTCCTGTTCTGAGATCAGGGTGAGTTAATGAGTTTAAGATTTCTTTTCGGTACCATAGCTACCCATGAACTAAGTCCTAACTTTGTGGCATATGCGTGTTGCATGCCTTCCATCAGACCCGGACCGCCTCCGTGGTCTAGTGGAAGAGCGTCCGCCGGGAGAGCGGAAGGTCCGGGGTTCGATCCCCAGCCGCGTCATACCAAAAGACGTTAAATGATGGTACTTGTTGTTACCCTGTCTGGCGCTCGGCATTAAGGGGCTAAAACAAGGACTGGTCGGCTCGGAGTCAGTATACTGTGTCTGAGTGGGGTATTCATGTTAAACTGCGGCATGGCATCTCAGTGAGCTAGCACTATAAATCGGCATCAGTCCGGACTAGTACAAGCAGCCACGCACACGCATGCATGCACGTCACTATATAAGTGCAATTTTCTTGGAGGCGACGTTAAACCCCATTTCACCTCACCTCCACCAGACCCGTAAAGATCTTGTTAGAATTGTTCTTCAGCAACCAATGCTTGTCGCAAGAGACGACTAGCTTGCTGACATGGTTGTCGTGTCATCGTATCCATATTGTGAAGATGGATGTTCATGTCAATCCCCGTCCTCCGTGGTCTAGTGGTAGAGCGTCCCCCCGGAGAGTGGAAGGTCCGGTTTTCGATCTCTGGTCGCGTCATACCAAAAGACGTTAAAAGGTGGTACTTGTTGTTGACCTGCCTGGCGCTCGGCATTACGGGGCTGAAACAAGTACTGCCGGTATACTGTGTCTGGGTGGGGTATTCATGTTAAACTACGGCTTGATTATATCATAGGGCTGGCACTATAAACTTCATCAGTCTACTCGCGCACGGATGTACATGCACGTCACTAATATGGTGGTGGAACGTGGTCCTATGCACTGCGCACAGATCACAAATCGGGTGAAGTTAAGTAACGTCGGTCTCGGAGAGTAGTTGGATGGATGACCACGTTGAGCTTGACTCCTGAGAGTTTCTACATGTGTCTCCCTACGCAAGTGACTTTGTTCGAAATGTGCCTCTGTTCACCCAGCAGTGAGTGGGTACCCGGTAGGATGAGATGGTAATGACTAACCTTCTAGCGCCTCGCAGGCAGCTTGGGTTGTATACTCCCCAGGGAGATGAGAATGAAAATCAACTGCTCACTGATCCATTGACCGGGATAATAGTGTAGCGCTATGAGCATCCACTTGGTGAATGGAATCTGGTGCATCACAAATGTTATTATCCCCCGCCACGAAGTGGAAGGGGATATAGGAATGGGTGCCGTCCGTCCTTCCGTCCGTCACATTTCGTTTCCGGAGCAGATCTTGAAAACCGTACCATATTTCTTCACCAAACTTGCCACATAGATCTAGTGGTAACCTGGTGCCTTTGTTTGGGATTTAAAAAAATATTTTTTTACTTTCCATGGCAACGACTTTGATTTAGACTGAAAATTGCAGTAGTACTCGTTTCCGGAGTAGATCTTGAAAAACGTACTATATTTCTTTACAAAACGGCCCAGTGAACAGTTCACAGGAGCTAATGCATTGCACACATGCGACATGTCATATTGGCGGGGGATGTGAGTATTTCATGCTTGTTATCTATTTAGTTTTATAATAAAAAAAAAACCGCTTTAAACATAGAAATAGCGTTATCTATTCAGATGTATGTACTAAACATTTGCTTGTGACCACCACACCCGTGAAGATCCGGTCTAGAATAGGTCTTCAGCAACCTATGGATCGAGTGGTCAGGCTCGCTGACTTGGTTGATGCATGTCTTCGTATCCCAATTGCGTGGATCGATACTCATGTCAATGGATTATCTGGTCCAGACCGCCGTCATATAGCTGGAATGTTGCCGAGTGCGGCCTTAAACAACAAACGAATATCAAGAGTATCGTTGGGCGACGTGTTTTTTATCCCTTGTTCAGTGTCTCTATATAAATTTCAGGTGTGGAGATGGGATGGTTATAAAGAGGACAAAAGGCTTCCTTACTGCCGGCAAGAAAACCTACAGTTCTTTCTTTAAGCTGTTCATTGTTAATGGGGATCCGTTTCTCAGTTTTGTGTGTAACTTCACGGTGTGCGACACAACGTGTAATGGGGTAAGTACATACTCTAAATCCAGTTCCTTGGAATCCGACCCGTGAATATCCGGGGTAGAATAGGTCTTCAGCAACCAATGCTTGCCGCAAAAGGCGATAACGCTCCGTAATCGGCTTCAAGAATCTATTTTTAGGCGTGACATAAGGAAACTTTCATTAGCCGATAGGTTTCCGCGTTTACGAATCTTGTGATTCTCGGCCGTTTTCCTTACACTGTTCCTGCAAAATTAGTGTTGCATATGTTAAATATGTGAAACTACCTTTTGAACTTGACATTGATTACTTACAATCAACGGTCGACAGAAGTTATGTGCGAACATACGACAAATCAATCAGAATGGGCGTATGGCATCTGGTGCTTCGATCAAAGAATCCCTCAGGAATTAGTTTTGATTTTACAATGGGGTGGGGGGGGGTGGTGGTGTGTGAATGGTATGCTTCACTGCTTATTCCTAATGTTTTTTTGTAAAAATATTGAAAGGGTTGTCACTTTTGGTAAATGTTCCCGTGTTTTTTGTGTTTGGTGTTTTTGCAGGTGAACAATTGACTTTGCGTGTGCCACCGATGCGTTTACTTTTCTGTGAACACCTGGTATTATGTGATTTCTAATAGATTCATAAACATCAATAATACATCGTACAATTGACCCTGCTTTTAGCCGACTTCTTCTGAATTTAGAAAGTTTTGTCTTTACGAAATCTTGACATTACATTTACTTCTGTCGCATGTTTTCATTCCAGTCGTCGTGTTCTGCGAGGGCATCGGGACGTAGACGCCGAGATCAGTCAGGTACAAATGACAGATTAATTATATATGTAATACTTTTATAATCAACACGCGTGTCGGATAGGACTTTAGGCCGCTGTGGCAAACGCCCTCATTTACACTTAACATTCCGCGTGAACAGTTTCACACTTCGCTTAACTTTTTTGTACGGTACTTTTAGGTAACATTTTGTTTCCCTGGTACATATTATTATACGCAGGCCGCAATATAACCGGAAAAATGCCGTCAGTACTAAAACTTCCCTGTTATTCCCGTGAAGATCCGTGGTATAATAGGTCTTCAGCAACCCACGCTTGCCATAAAAGGCGACTAACGGGGATCGGGTGGTCAGGCTCGCTGACTGGATTGATGCATGTCACCAATCCAAAGTGCGTGGATCGACGCTCATGATGGCAATTACTGGATTTTCTGGTCCAGATTGGATTATATACAGACGGCCATAATATATCTGGACTATTGCCGAGTGCGGCGTTAAATAATACAATATAAATTAACTATAGAATTAAACAAATTACAAAGCTGGAATACCTTTTATTCTTAACATTAGTCAATGCTATTTACTGCTATTTCAGGGGGCACGGGTGGCCCAGTTATCTAAGATTCGCTGTGCAGAGTTGCTTTGCAAACACTTTCGTAAAATGTTCGAAGTCTTACTACGGAATCACTCTGCTACACATTGACTTGTGTTACTATTTTATGTTTCTGTCAGGTGAGAGTGCTGGTACATTTTTCTGGAGTTCAAAGAGCCAGGCCTCGACCAAAGTTGTGACGTTGACCAGTGACCCTATTGACGTTCATGGGGGCATGGACCAAGTTTAACGGCTTCATTGTTAGAAGCAACCAGTGAAGTGTACTTTTGTTTGGTTTTGGGTGAAATAAACTTCAGAAAAATGTGTTCCATATTCATCTTGTGTAACGATCTATAGTATTTTGGTGAGTTTGTGGAGAAGGGTTTGCCCTCCCTCGTTAGTAGAAACCTTTCGTATCTAAGGGACTGACCGTCAGGGTCCACTTGCACAAAGCGATCTTAGCGCTAAGACAATCGTTATCGTGTGTTAAGGTATGGGAGTTACGATCATCTTGGCGCTAAAATCGCTTTGAGCCCTGATGGGAGATTATGGCAATTATTACATGCACGAACGCCGTTGTCGACGTTGAAGCTTAAGACGCCTACGTAAATACTTTGAGTCATCTGATGTTCATTTCGATTTCAGACTCGATTATTTTCAGACCGCCGTCATATAGCTGAAATATTGCTGAGTGGCGTGAAACAAACCAAAATAATCGACCGAAAATGAATACGCAGACTACCTTTTACTTCGGTGGTGTTTTGAATATAATTCGCATATATACGTCTTTAATCAGTGCTGAACGCACATGCGTTAGGATAGACTGTTATTGACAGAGGAAATCGGCATTCGTGATTCCTCAATTGCCTACGTTTTGTTGTATCGGTTCCCATACCCGTGCTATACTTGCAGTGATTGCCATTGCACGCTCGCGGACGCAGGGTGGCGCCAACTGCTATTTGCTACGGGCTTTTGTTTAACGCCGCACTCCGGTTTTATGACGGCGGTCTGTAAATGGTCTGGACCAGACAAATCCAGTGATTGCCATCATGAGCATCGATCTACGCAATTGGGATCGATGACGTGCATCAACCAAGTCCGCAGGCCTGACTAGTCGATCCCGTTAGTCGCCCTTTAGTTCTTCACTTCATTCACCCAACAGTACATAAAATCGCTATATGCCAGAATGAGACACGTACTTTTGGCAAATGGCTGCATTACAAAATACTGATCCCGTTAGTACTTGTGAGAAATATGGGAACTATCGCTAGGAGGTTGATTTCTGTTAAATGTTCCAGTTTCGAACCTAAAGTGGCAATGCATTTGAACGTTGAATTCGTGCGGAATATCGTGCCACCAATTTTCAAGCATCCATGCACCGAAACATTGCGGGTGTACATGGTATATACCTTCACTGACGGGTCCTACATTATGAGAACTCTTTACCCTTCCCCCCGCCCCATCATACCAATGTAATGGTTGTTGGAATTTATTGTGGTGTTTGTAACACTGAACTGGTAATTCAGTTATCATGCTATGGTTTGCTTGGATATACACTGCGTTATTAAATTACTGACTGTAATGCCCTGTACAGTACGTGTACATTCAAACATTTTACAAGTTCCTGTTATCACAATGACGCTTAGCACATGTTACACACAGAAAGATCCAAAGTTAATAGTTGATTTATAGTGGCATATCCTACACTAGGAAATCTGACTTGGTTGTGGTTCAGGGGATATTTGACAGCAAATCGGTTCATGTATCAAATTCTTCCAATCACTGACCGCCAGAGAGCTGTTTCAACAGAACAGACGCACACAGCTCGTGTCATGGTAGACTACCTGCATAATACCAGCATCCACGACTTGCCCTGGCCGTCGAGATCTCGACCCAATCGAACACCTCTGGGATGAACTCGATCGACGTGGAACGTCAACGTCAGAACACGCCGCAGACACTCCCACAACTGGCCAATGCGTTACAAGCAGAATGGCACAGAATTCCGCAGGGTAGAATTCGTACACTTATCCAGTCAGTGCCGAGGTGCAGAGCCGTGATTGCTGAGCGGGGCTTTCACACGAGATACGGAGTTCAGCGCAACCTTGTGGCCTTATGTGACATGACAGTGAACAGTTTTTAATGCCTTTGTACAACAACCTGTGACTAGCGAGCTCCAAAGTTTCATATTGGCATCTGTGATAGAGGATTAACCACTGTGTTCGGTTCGTTCTAATCGTGGCAGTTTAATCACTCGCGTGTAGACTTTTCGGTAACAACTGAACGCAGGGGTTAATCCTTTTTTTGCCATTACAATACGCCATAAAAAAGTCGAGTTCGTAGTTGAAGATTCCCCCCCCCCCCCCCCCCCCCCCGCCTCATTTTCGAATATGCTCAGTAAGACAACTGCACCAAAAAGAGGTAAAAAGGATCTAGAGAAGACAACCCACGCGAGTTTTCCCGTGACAGGCAAGCCACTTGTTAGCATTCATGTTATCTTCTTTGTTAACTATTAAAAGTTGATGGGAATAACGTTTTGAAAATAATTAATGTGATTTGATATTTGTTGATGACTTTGGATTACTCGGCCAATAACTTTATGTGCATTCGTCTCGCCGTGACTATCATTCTCAATGCGAAACACTAAATAGGCCCACATTTGTAGTGTATGTAAATACGTTATTAGTTTATTTGTCCGTTAGAAACTAATGTAATAAACCCAAATGAGGAAATTAAATATTGTCTTTTTTTGTAACATATTGTTAACGAAAAACAAGGGCCATGGGAGCTGTCAGCAGGATTGATCAGGCTAGATTCTATAAATACCATCTCGGGCAACTGATCAGCTGATTACTGCTAGGTAAATCTTTTCAACATCAATGAATTGTAATATTTTTAAACGGATTTTCGTCTTTAAAATGAACTTTACAGTGAATAATTTAATGTATCAAATGATGATTAATTCATGTCATTTTTTTATCTATTTTTTGTTTTGTTCCTGATCATGGTGAGCACATGTATTTCTATTATAGTGAGTGAGTGAGTATGGTTTTACGCCGTTTCTAGCAATATTCCAGCAATATCACGCCGGGGGTCACCAGAAATGGTATTTCTATTATAAAAGAAGAAAATATTTCCTAATTCAGTGGACATTTTTCTTTTGACCATGATATTTAACATCATAACACCAAAAATGTAACTAAATGAGTTATCTAATTTTCCCATATATGTGAATGACACAATGTGAATTTGACAAGCACAATATGTTATTGTGTGTGAAACATAAATACATAGAATATTTGTAAACAATAAATTATAATTTCAATAGTTATACAAATATTTACATTATTTTGATACCCTTGTAATATTACGTTGTTATTTTACTGCTACAGTTACATCCAAACTTTATTTTATTCTTATTTTATCAGATTAGAAATTAAAAATTACTGATCATAGGTAATTAAAATTTAACATGTGCTTCTCTTTATCAAAAAGACGCATAATAAATATATATTTTTGTGACCTGATCATGTGTGAATTGTTTGTAAAAAGAATTAAAATTAAATTTTGACATTGCTTATGTTGAGAAATGAGGTTAATGGTAAATGTTATAAGATGACCTCTTGTTGGTCATTTCTTCATCATCCATAAATTTGAGTTTTTCTTTACTTACCAAGTTATGAAACTTTACACATAACACAATTGAATAATTTAAGGTCTCTGGTTAAAATAGCAACATAGCTTTCCACTCACAGGCAGCCAATAAGATTGTGTGAAAGAAAAACCCCACTGTAAATCTTGTAATTGGAAAATAATACAGAAAAATTACATTTCCAGTTTATCATCCAAAGAAATGCTGAATAATTATCTTTACAATTAAGCTAGCTATGCATAGTGGGGTTATTTATCTGCTATGATAATATAACAGTTTCATTATTAAAGAAATGATTTTTTTTCAGTAAACATGGTAAATAATAATAAAAAACTTTGCTTTAAAGAATATACATGAGACAAACATAATTCTATATTTCTTTAATACTCTGTCTGTTAATTCTGAAAATAATTAACTGTGATAGTGAGTTTCTATCCAAAATACCAAATATATTTTAAGATGCATAAATGTAAATCATTATTGAAAAAAATAAATAGTTTTTAAAAAATATACCTAATAAGGTTGATTGGTGCCCACCATCTTTAGCTTCATCATTTTGTCTGCTCCCTATATAAGAAATCAAAATAGCTAAGAAAAAATATAAATACATAGATCTAGGTACTTAAACTAAATACATTCAAGTTTAAATGTAGTAATGTTTTTTGTTTTGTTTTTAAAAAATGAGTTTCGTAATTGGCCTGAAATAGTATGTTTAAATAATTGAAGTCTTCAAGTTAAAAAACAAACAAACAAATAATTACAGGCCAAAATAAATGAATTATATTGATCTGGATAATCTCCAACTGTTGAAAGGGGAAACAACTGCGGTGGTTGCAAAACATCTTGGTCGTGAGATGTACGGCAAAGGTTTATCGTTTAATGCATTAAAATTGAGTATGTCTTTTGATACAAACTATTTAAGGTGTTTATTTTTTTTAAAATATGAAATATAAGCCTCGATTATTTTAATATAACTATAACATATGTTTTTGACGGTGGGTGACACAAACGATCAATCGGCTCTAGATCAACATTTCGAAACAACGTGACATTTCTTATGTGGTTGATGGTTATTTTTAAAAGTACCAAAAACAATATGGTATGTTTCGCAATTTTATCAGTCTTTTTACAAGAATTAATTAACTGTTTCATTAGTTATTTTATTAATCTTGAAAAAGCCCAGCAAAGAATCTACCGGAGTGGCTCACCTGGTCCTGTAATATCGAAGCGGCATCTCGGTTACCGTCTTCTCATTCTGCAACTGAATCTCGTACACTGGGAAGCCGAAATTCTCTGATACATCTCCACATATCACATCCCTTCCTCCCCCACAAATTTTCTCTTGTTCACCATCTTTCGGAGATGGAAACATCGTCACTACGGTAATGTTTTGCCAGCTGGAGATTTCCTGTACTAAGACGACCTCGGGTATCCCCGATCCGAAAAAAGTGCCGTCAATTATTTTTAGATAGCCAATCAAAACGCGATGACACAGCTCTCCACTCTGAGCAAGCCAATCAGATTGTGTAAATAAAAATAAACCACTACGAATAAACTACTGCTGGCGATTTGAGATCAAACCCTGTCATGGGAGAAATTAAATTAAATTTATCGACTTTATTAGCTTCGATAAATTTACTAAACATCTTCCTGTGCGTTTCCGTTTTTGAAG